CTTTTATATAAAGAATATTAACTCAGGAATGACATAAGTATAGTTTCCCCATTTTCCCGTTTACCTTTATCTCTACCCGGGAGGTTATCCCCGTTGAGTAGGTCTCCAAAAGTAATTCTTTGAGGTCAGTTGCTTCCCCTGCTTTTTGTTCCTTGCTTCAGGAAAGCAGATAGTTCAGAAGTGAATTAGCTCATCTCAACTTAGGTTCAGGGGAATGAGGGGCAAGTAAACTTGTTAAAGTATGGAATTGACGCCTTTTAACTGGTAGTCCTCTCCTTTCAGTCGAGCAACTTCATTTCTGACCCGCAGTCACTTCAAAAAGTCCCCCCATGTTCACTCCCCAAATGGCTACACCCTCTTTTTTAGCTTATATCCGACCCCACTGAAAGTGAAATCTCTTAAGAGAATAACAGCACTTGTACACTTTATTTTTCCCTTGAAGTGACCTCCTTTCAAAGACCCAGAAGTCTTCGCTTCGACTACCTTTACTTTTAAGAAGAAGATTCATTCATTGGTTTGGCTACCACTCTAGTGGAGCACCGTGAAAAGGCGTCTATTGATGACTTCTTTTTCCTGATCTCAAGACAACTTAAGCAAAGCGATTAACAAAGGGATTTCGGTCTTGGGGTTCAGGCTCATACGCTCGACCAAGAGTAAATGGGAGAAGCTTATTTTGAGGCGAATGTCATGAAAGAAAAGAAGGCGCGCATCGGGCTAAGGCAGCCCTTTCATTCTTTCCAACAAACCGGAATAGACTGAAGTTTTTTTAACTAATTACTTACACGGCTCGATCTACTACGAAAGAAGCGTCACAAGATCTTCTCGTGGGAGGCATTCTACTAGCAAAGTCCTATAAGTGGTAGTACCTAGTTGGGGTTTAATTCTTTGGCGAAAGGGGTCTCCGGCGACCCAACAACTTTCCGATGTGATTGACAAGCAGCAGGGCATGTTTAATTCATCGCGATAGGAGTTCACCATAAGAAAATCAGTCATCCAACGATAAGGGGGCCATTCTGAATCCGCTGATCAGGAAGAGAGAAAGCTTTCAGTGCAGGGGTTTTTTATTCGAAACGATGCACAAGGCATGGAAATTAAAGGCGGGCGTAAAAGCGCGGGAGTTAAGCAGCAATCTGTTCAGATTTGAGTTCTTTCATTGGAAAGATAAGCAGAAGGTTCTTGATAATGAACCTTGGAATTTTGATGATTCTGTTCTCATCCTAAAATAGAATGAAAATAGAGAGACTTTCCAGGCTCTCTAACAAAAAGAAGGGAAAGAAAAGTACAGACGTTAATCTGACTTAGTAAACCTGTTGGTTCTGTCTCATTTTGATCTCGATCAATCCTGTCCCTTCCGAAAGGGGATTTCAACTTAAAGAATCTGTAGGTGGCTCTTAGGAAGTCAATGCCATCTATGGCCTACTCAACTGAATTGTCAAAGCACCATTCCGCTCCTCAAGATACCTTATGACACCTTCTCTTTCATGCGCCTTTCTTGCTGGATGGTCCCTCTCGATCTCCATATCTTCAATCTTACCCCAGGTTATAGATCCTACTCTCTCACGGAACCTTCGGATAAAGAACTATATACTACACCTCGGGATAAATATGATAGGAAAGCAGGCCCAACCGATTAAACCTCCTCTCCCTATCGGTCGAGCTACTTCGCACCTTCTCCCTACGGTCGAACATATTCCCCTCCTCTCCTTCTTTTATCTAATTCAAATGCGAGCAACTTCGCACCTTCTCCCTATGGTCGAACATATTCCCCTCCTCTCCTTTCAATCGAGAAACTTCGCACCTTCTCCCTACGGTCGAACATATTCTAAACCTTCGGGCTCACATATTCTAAACCTTCGCCCTAACACTCGCCTCGGATATGAAACTTTGAGTATTCAGAGAAGCTCGCGTTATTCCCAATAATATGGCTCGGTAACCGATCGTTTCTTCCAAAGCGCGTCCTATTCGTTCCGCTCGCAATAATCCAATTAGTTCTCCGGGTTAAAAAACATTAGACATTCCATCTTCTGAAACCAACACTTTTTATGTTATTTGACGTACAATAATTTCTATATGCCTATTATGGATCTGCACCCCCTGGGATCGATAAACCTTTTGGATCTTATTAACCAAAGAGATACGACTTTGCACGATAGTTAGCTGAGCACCAACCAAGAACCCCCATGGAATTCCAAGAATTTTTGTTATATACTCGTTCCAACCTTTCACTCTCTTTTCTAGGTTTATCAATATTGAATCGATTGAAAGCGTTATATCACCAGATCTCGATTTTTCATATATAAATGTAACTAACGTATCCCCTTCGTAAAGGATTTTACCGTAATGGCCATGAACAGTTGCTTCCGGAGTGGGCAAATAAGGCTTAGCAGATCTTATTACGACAGAGTCAACGTAAACAATTAGAACTTGACCTGATTGGAGGTGTGGTCCATCTTTGGCCATACAAAAATTTTAACAAATAAACAGCCCCAGGCTAATTAATGTGACTGTTTCGGCACAATAATTATGATTCCAATTTTCATGGATAAAATACCAAATGAAATGGATTCAATACACTCTTAACACCCAAATACGGATCAGGATTACCAATTCTCCTGCACTCAAAGGAGGGCCCCAGAACGCGTGAAAGGTGGGGGAAGAGGGATTTGAATGATCGAAAAGACATTATGATGCCTAACAACCTAGCCGACTTGGTCCTTCACTTTGTGATCGACCTTACTCGTAATCCCGCTTTAGCGTTCCCCTTGGTATTTTGGGTTCTTGCGGTTTGGCGAGTTTGTCGGCTTCGTTCGGCGACTCCGAGAAATCCGTGGGGCCTTAATGCTTAGAATTACCAAGAAAGGGTGGAGCAATCGGTCATTGAGACCATCCAAGAAGAAATAGCGGAATCCCAGTTGTTGCCATTATTGAACGAGGCGGGAACAGTACTGCCAGGGGGAGTACATACCATGTATACTATTATTGAGCAAATGCTCCAAGGCATTAATTCTTCATCCGATAAGCTTGAGTATGACGCCCAAATGTATAATCGTTTTGATACTCTCGGCCTCCAAAGCCCCTAGTGGCTGCTAAAGCTGCCGGGTAAGCTTATGAGCTGTTCTCCGCGAGGGTTGGTTTACACTTTAGAAGGAATAGTACCAATGCTATTACTCCACCAATTGCAATTCCCGAGGTTGAAGAGAGAGGCACGAAGTAGCTCAACTGAAAGCAGAGAAAGAAGGGATAAGGGCAAGAAAGGGCCTTCTAGCGATAGAGACTAACAAGGGAACTTACCAATACTAAAGGCGGATCGATCAGGCTGAAGCTATTGTAGCATCTCGAGCTTATCTTTCTTTTGCACCCACCTACCCTGTACTGCCGAACGTTTGCAACAGTTATAATCTTCTATAATAACTAATAAAGAGATTTAATGAAAGACAGGACCCTTTTCCACAGTTACAGGACCGTTGCGACAGTTGTTGATACCGATAAAGTTTCCCTCAGATATCTCGATCGGGAAGACCTCTTACGAGAGTTGCTTACCTTCCACCGATTGACTGCTTCTATTCCCGTTATGCCTCTATTTCACTGCTTTCCCTATTTGTTTACGGATTTGCTTAACGAATACTTCCCTCGGGCTGGTTATTCCTTGCTTGACAAAAGAGAAGGAAAAGGAAAGTACTTTCAGAGAAGAGTTTACTAGAAAAAGCACTGGAAGGTAATCGCTTTCCTATCTCTAAAAGGAAGGACATGATTCCATCGAACGGAAAGCCTTCTTAGGCCTTATTAGTTTAGCGAGAGTTTTTACTAAATTCTTATGATGAGAAAGATCTCTCTTTCCTACCCTATACACGTAACCCCGGTATAAAGAACTGCACACTAACTCTCGCCCCAGCACACGTCACCTCGGGGTATAGAACCTCTACCTATCGGTCTCACATATTTTCTACCTCTCCCTATCGGTCGAGCATATTGCATAACCTCCACCCTTGCTATGTTTGGATCCACCTCTTTTTTTCTCGTAGGTCCATAGGCTACCACTCCGTAAGCTGCTGACGTTCTATTTTCTTAATGGCTAAGCCAGGTCTGTCCTAATTCAAATTCTATATAAATATCTTATATAGTAATAAAATAGAATAAGTAAGAGAGAAAAATGCTACAACAATCTCCCTTTTTTAGGTCTTTATTAAGATAGTGGTGGGAAGTCTCTCGGCTTTCTCGTGAATTACATATACCATAGGAGAAGACATTCGATTCTAAGATCTGTGTGATCTTTACATGTTTAAACAGAATAAAATGAGAAGAAGATGCAAGAATTCTGGTCTTCGAGCTTTGAAGCTAGGCCCTTCCTAATTCCTCAACTCAACATTCTTCTCTGGGGCCAGCCAGCTAGGCCCTCTTCTCTCTACTACGGGTGGAACCTCCCTTTTCAGGGGCTTTAAGGAGGGTGGGGCATGGTCTTTGGCGTCTGCTGCAGAAGCAGATAGAAAGTGGTAATTCCTTCCCCTAAAATAAGCCAGGGAGAATAGTTGGGGTTACTAATCTGACTACTATATACTATAATACACAATAGAATACGATAATGAACAATAGATCCATTTCTATAGATTGAGAAAAAAAGCTTCTTTATTCGCCTTAGGCTATGAGGAGGGACCACGAGGTAGAAGGTAAAAGAAGGCAAGAGGTAGAAGGGCCAGTGTTAAGGGCGAGTCTTACGCCGGGCGAAGGTTTAGAATATGTGAGCCCGAAGGGCGAAGGGAGAAGGGCGAAGGTAGGCCTGGTAATCGGTCGGTACCGGTATAACCGGTTACCGAATTCCCGGTTATCGGTATTACCGAAATCCCCAGGTAGCTTCCGATTACCGGTACCGAGGAATTGTCGGTTAGCCGGCTTACCTAATTTTCGGTAACGGTTATTGTTCCTGGTTATCCAAAAACCTGCAGCGATAGGGAGGCGGTCATCTTCATCAGCACCATCACCCCACACGATGGAAGCCGAACCATTCAACGATGAGATTGTGATGAAATCAGGCAGGGATTGGCCATGCAGATCGAGTTGGTGTTGCGGTGTTGTCCCACTTTGCTGGCAGATCTGGAATCGAGAGGAAGTGAGAGTGGCGCCGATCTGGAGATTCGGTGACCAAGGTTGAAGATGAAAGAGAGTGGGCACCATCGTGTCTCGGCGGCGGCTCCGGATCCGGAATAGAGATGGAGGGCGAGGCGCTGGCGGCGTGTGGGCAGTATCGATTCCCAGCGGCATCTCCGGATCTGGAATCTCGACGGACTGAGAACCACAGTGATAGGGAGACAACAACGAAGATGACTGAGGGAATAGATGTTCGTCATCGACGACTGGGGATGAGGGAAGGCGGCGTCGCGGAGAGGCGCCGACAGAGTCGGCATTGACGTCGGATAGGGCCAGGGGAGAAACTCGATAGGGATGAGAGTCGGTGTTTGATCTGTTTGGTCTACGGAATTTGAATGGGGTGGGTAACTTCGTCGGATTAGACCCCTTATATAGAGAGAGCGAAAGGGAACTATCGATGCTCCTTCAGAAACAGAGAATCGTTGGGGGATGGAAAAGAAGAAGAAGAAGAAGGTGGAGAAGCTATAGAAGAAGCTCATTTGATTTCCCATTCTGCCTTTTTGGTTTTGGCTTTCTTTTTTTTGGCTCGAGAGCGCGTGTGAGAGAAAGATGACTTGGTAAAGTGGAGTGTGGGGGAGGAAGTGTTATGCGAGTTTCCCTTCTTCCCGGTATCCGGTTTAACCGGATAACCGCCGGTATTTACCGGCAAGGGGTTCTGTATACCGAGGCTCCATTTGTGGCCGCCGACAACCGAAACAAGCCGGTTACCGGTATACCGGTAACTGGTTAAACCGGATACCGGGAAACCGATTGTCACCCCTAGGTGAAGGTTTATTATGAGCCCGTAGGGCGAAGGAAAGAAGTTTCTCGACTGAAAGGAGAGGGAGGGAATATGTTCGACCTTAGGGAGAAGGAGCGAAGTAGCTCGACCGATAGGGAGTAGGAACGAATAGGGAGTAGGAACGAAGTCACTCTTTCTTTGTGAGCGGCTTTCACTTCTCTTCTTTAAAATATATTTCTTCTCTTTCTGGGTCTATCAATCTTCCTGCCCCAAGCCCCTGTTGTCTATAGCACTTGATTGTTTGATAGAGATCGACCCGCTTTCATAAGCACTTGTTGGCAAGTTCGGAAGAAGGCTTTGAGGGGAACTAACTTGATGTGGCTCCGGTTCAGTATTTCCTCTCGCTTAAAATCTCTTCCAGCCTTACTTCTCCTTTCAGGGCCTATCCGAAAGAGAATCCAGTACTTCTGAGTCGTGAATATCTTAATAGGACGAACCACCCCCCGTATATCTTTGCTTCGGAACAAAACAGTTAGAATTAAGCCCGGTCAACTAGAATGTCTATTATCCATATAGGGATCTTCCAATTGAGAAGATCCATCTGCCTGAGACAAAGAGAAGGGTCTATCTATTTTATTTAGTTATTCAGTTAAACCAATGCCAATAATTCGTTATTGGAGCAAATAGCAACAACCACCATTTCATCCGACATACGTCTTTTTTATTTTCCAATGGATTTCCAGCTTTCATTAATGGAAATTTTTTGATGTAGTGGGTAATAGCTCTGCTTGCTCGCTGTTCAAGAATTCTTGTTTAGGCAGTTCATACCATCCATACATAGTGTTTTGATCTAAGATTTCCATTCTTCCAAGTTTCAGCAGTAACATATTGTTCCACGTCCAAAATATGGAAGAAACAGGTGTTTCCACGACTCTACCACCCAATCAATTCTGTTCCACTTAATCCCTATTTCATGGCCACATATCTTTCAGGCTAAGGAATGGGAAACCTTTATCCTATTCCATGAATCAAATTTTCATTTCATCCGGGAAAAGCCATCTTTTTTCTCAATAATGCCTATGTCATTTGATCGAATAGCGTTCAGTTAGATAGGAACAGATTTTATAAATATTGATAACTCTCGGATAGAGTCTTTGAGTGGAAACATCGATTAAATAATGAACTATTGGTTCTAAGCCATCTCTGGCGATGAATCAAGAACTCGAAGTGCTTTTCATGCGTATTCTTGATAAACCAGCGTTTATATATAGATGTAGGAGGGTCTGTTTGGGAAGTAAGAAGCCCCTTTGACATCTCTTCATCTTCAAAGAGTTCTCGATGTGAAAACACAGAGACAAAGGGTTGATCTTTGATTAGGAAAAAGAGTGGATCTGCAGGATCCCAAATGAATTGGATTATTCGAAAAAAGCCCTGTTCTTTGGAAGATCTATCTCATATCTGGTACTGCATGGTTCCACTCTGCAAGAACTCTGAATCATTCTCTTGAAGCTCATCCTCTTCATCATAAATGATCCGCTTGTCCCTAAATGACCCATCCCAATAGGGAAATCCTAATTCATTGGGCCTTTCGATACTATCAAATAGAAAGCCCCAAGGGCGCCATATTCTAGGTGCCCAAACTATGTGATTGAATAAATCCTCCTCTACCTGTTGCGAGTCGAGGGCTCCTTCTTCTTCCCCTTCTTCAAACTCCGATTCGTATTTTTCATAGATAAATCATTGATCAAGGATAGAACAAGATCCATTTTTCATCATATCTAAGGGACTCCTTGGTTTGGGCCGAAGAAGCAATGTCACTCGATCATTATCAAACTGACTGCAATCTTTTTCTGTCCGTGAGGATCCCACCAGAGAGCCTTCTAGTTCTAATAGGCCATGAACTAGATCAGAATCATTCTCAATAAACCCATAATAAGTGATCCCATTTTTTTCATTGGATCTGGGTAGAGACCAAAGGTCTTGAGCAACCGGTCCGGCAGAACAACTCAAAAGATAAAGAAGTATCGTTAATTTCTTCATGCTCGTTCCAAGTTCGAAGTAGCATTTGTACAAATAAGAATCCCCTTCGTTACATGATTTCTTCTTCATATAGATCGATATAGGATCTATGGGGCAATTACTTAGAAATACATTTTGTGCAACAACCCTTCCTATCTGATAGAAAAGGATCCCATGATCTTGAATCGATCTTACCTGGGATTGCAAATCCCAAGTTTGTCTATGAAGAGCAGATCGAATTATATTAGTGTCTAGCATTTATTTCTTCTGTGTAATACTAATCGATAGGGCCTCATTGGTATGTGCTACAAGATCTCGTACATTGGAACCCATGATTATGGATCCGAATCCCTTAGTATGGAGCATTTTCTTTTCCAAGTGAAATCCCCTAGTATATGAAAGAGTGAAAAGGTACTTTCGTTGTTGTGGAATAAGATGCCTTCGTATCTTAATCCATGTATTTAATTTATTCGGAGCTATTAGAGCGGGATCCACTTTTTGGGGAATATGATTCGAAGCAATAACAAGAATATTTCTAGTGAAACATCTTTCATAATCCTTGGAGAGATAGTTCACTAATAGACCGAGGGATAAGTAATTTGACTCATTCACATCCGGATCATGAATGTTTGGAATCCATATTATGCAAGGAGACATTGCTTTTGCTAATTCGAATTGAAGGGTGATATAAAATCGGTCTATTTCCGGTATCATATCCATAGTTAGCGCATTCATCCTAGTTAGAAGCTCCAGCTCCGTATCAAGGTCGATATCGTCACTAGCATCAATATCGTCACTATTATCAATAAGAAAATCCTTAGGCTTGTTATCCAGGAACTTGTTCAGAAATACTGTAATGAAAGGAACATAGGAGTTTGTCGCTAGGTATTTGACCAAATAGGATCGTCCAGTTCCTATGGAACCTATCAATAAAATACCACTATAGGGGGATAGGGCTAAGCGGAGCGAAAAGGGTTTTCCATGAGATGGGAAATGAAAACTATTCGCCCCACACGAAGTTTGTGAATAAGTGATTGTCTGATAATGAGCAAGGAATATTTGTCTTTCCGCTAAACAGGGTGTATTGTTGAGGATTGCACTGAGAAAGAGCTGAATGCGGTGAAAGCATCCAGTAACGCAGCACAAAGCACGATACCAATCGTGATGGACGAGCCGAAGACGCAGGCAGAGCCTGCCAAAACCAGTGATGAGGGTACCAAGGAAACACCTATTCCTGTAATCCAATCGGTGTGGGGCAATGAGAAGAAAAAGATGTTCAGCGAAATAGTACAAGACACTGCATGGTACGTGGAAGATTCTGATGGTGAAGATGTAACGGAGGTGACTCACTCCTACTGTCACTCTAGAAAATGGCCAAGTGAAACCACTTCCTAAAGCGTAGTATAGCGGGTTTGGGTTTTAATGTCAACCCGGGTCCTAGATTTGATGACTACTCGGTGAATTCTTGTTATCTAACAGTGAAACTTTAGTGCAAATCCAAATTAACAAACAAACAAAGCAAGTTAAACGGTTGTTTTCAAATCGAGAGAGGTCACCCGGATATAGTTCCCCATAGACTGCTGTTAAGCCGGATTGCAATTTACCAAGTTCAATTTCTATGATAGTTATACTGCGGAAGGTTCTTAAACAGTCTGAAGTCTCGACTAAAGGTCTCCAGACCCTCTCAATCTGAGTCTCTAGCGGGCGACTAACCTCCACCGGAGTAAATAGATTGAGGCCCTAACGAACAAAACCTACACTACCGAAGTAAATTCGGTACAGAATAGTGAATTGGCTCCTCGACTAAAGTCGCCAATTCACTACCTTCAATCAAGGATGCTCTATCAACCTAGGCAGATATTCTCATTCTAGGTTAAAGCAGAAACAACAGGAATTTGATCAGGATTCATGCCATTCAATCATTCAAACCTCAATTGAATATAATCAAATCATAGAATCTGTACTTGGGTTCATACAATCAAACCTAACATACAAATCTAGGTTTTTCATACCCAGATGAATGGGAGAACTACTCCATGGAGAAAGAAGCAAAAGCATATTCAGATGCGGAAACCATACTGTGAAGGATGGGTTTCAGCTCTTGCTTGTTTATCGGCACTTCTCCAAGCTCAAGCCGGGCTCCAATGGTGATGAAGATCAAGCTAGGGCACTTGGGAACTCTTGTTTGTCGCTTTCTCTCTCTAGGAATTGTTCTGTCTCTCTAAAACTCAAATTCCCTTCTCTTTTGGCTGAAATCTGCGTAAAAGGGCATCACTGGGCAAAACACGGTAGATGCCACGGCCGTGCTTTGCTCCAGCCTGCCCGTGCCCTGTCCACGTGTTAAAAACACGGCCGCTACTTTGGGAAAACACGGGCGTGCTTGATGATGGACACGGCCGTGTTCTAGGTCAGTGCCGCCCGTGTTTTGAGCTAGTGTTTGACAGTCCTGGAGCAAGCCTCGGCAGTAAAAACACGATCCAGGAACACGACCGTGCTTTGATTTAGGCGTGCCCGTGT